CCCCAAAACCCCAAAACCCCAAAACCCCAAAACCCCTAGATTAAGGATATTACTTTGTCAGGAAGATAATATTATACGAATGAATATAAAACTATATAAAACATAATTATTAAATTAAAGATCTTAAATGCCTATGAAGCAGAAAAGAAATTGTGGTTAACTCATTCAAAAAGCAGTAAGAAGTATGGATGTATTTGGGATACCAGTATCATTAACTTACAAAAATGAACCTCGTATCAAATCAGTGACAGGTGGATTCGCTACTATCATAATGAGGTGTGGAGTATTGGCTTACCTCCTATATCGGTGTGCAGATGTATTTGCTCGGAAAACTGCTATTCAATCATCTTCACATATACTAGATCTTTCAAATGAAAATTTGGCTTATAAACTAACTTAGGATGAATTCGATCTTGCGTTTAAAGTTGAATACACTCTCTTAGACTCAGAACCTGAAGTTTAAGAAAATATAGAGGAATATGCCTATATATAACTCAGTCAAAATATATATACATGGGTTACATAAAATGGAAGAAGTGTCTAATTAAAGTAAAGGCATAGAATAGAAACAGAAATCTGCAAATATGGTAGACTAGGGCTAAAGGAAGATGGGATTGATTATTTGAATATCGTCAAAACTTACCAATGTCCTAAAAAGGTAGATTTCTAGCTTTAAGGCAGCTATTCGGCCAGAATAGTTCAGCAAGTTTAAATCGGAGTATTTCCTTGCAATCAAACTTACCTTGATATTACAACCAATAAAACGAAAAAGTGCAAGCCAAAAGCTGAGTAGGTGAGAGTAGGCGCAAACTTGAGACTATTTGTTGTGGTATAAAACTCTTTCTTTGATCAAGAAGCCTTTGATAGCAGCATAATACGAGCATCTCTGAAGCCATATTTCCTCTCGCCAAGCTTTAATAAAAGCCATTCTTATTTATTCTTACTTAGTAAGAATTAAGTAAAACTATAAGATTCAATGTTTTATGGGGATACTTAAGAAAAGTAATTCATTGATACAAGGTTAGATTACTTGAATGTACGAGAGTTAATAGCAGAGGCAACTTTTGTGTCTTTTACGATTTAAATGGATGAAACAGTAAAAACAATAAGTAGATAAGCTGTAACTTTCATAGATGCTTTGCAAAGTACTGGAGGGTTTATGAGTGTTCTATTTGTTATCACTCTCAATCTTATAAGCTATCTTTAAAAAACAATCTACTTTA